GGAAAGCTGTGTAAAAGCAATTACTTGCACTCACTAAGTCAAAAAAAACTGTGTTCACAATGAGTTTGGGAGGTGATTTGGACATCCTCGCATTCTGTTTTTATTTTCATTTTGCACAGATTCTCCACAAATCTTTTGGTTACTGAGGTTAAAGTTAGAATTAAGTTTTTGGTGTAGGTTTAGTATTACTTGGCTACAGCTACAGTATAGAAGTCTGTGGAAGTCCTAACAAGTATAGAGAGACCTGTGTGTGTGTGTGTGTAAGTGTAATCTGCAGTGATGCATATCGTCACTGTCAGAACAAAACCTTGTCCACAATGGTAAGTTTTCAGGAAAAGGACAAAAAAAAACCTTCATAACTTTGAATGGAAGCTAATGGAACAAATTATATTTCAAAGTAAGTTTGGACCGTTTATATTGGCCCATTTATCATGGAATTTTAACACAATGTGAAGGGCCACTGGCGCTTTCAAATTCTGTTAAAAATAAGACAAAAATGGAGGCGACAGCGACGATATGTGGATACGTGTCACTGATTTTGTCTTTGAGACTCTGTATACAGTGACTACAGACAGAAGAAACACAGTGATGTACAGATCGATTGATTACTGTGAGTGGAAGAAAATGAGAGGAGATCTCATTAGAATATGACCACAGAAGCATGTGTCATTTTCTAGATCTCAGCAGGGGGTCATGGGAACATAGTGAAAGTGTGTGGGTCGCATGAATTGCGCCCAAGCTGTAATAAACGGCGTGTATAAAGAAAACGGCTCAGCCTCCTCCCCCTGTGTTTCTGACACACAGAGGACAGGCTTCCCTAAAGCACTTCGCAATACACTCTGCATGTGCTAATAATTGAAACATCGGAGCAAACCGTGTGTATGTGTGTGTTTCTTGACACATCTCTTCCTCATAATTGCCTGTCTTTAATCTCTCACTGTTTTGGTGGGTTCTCTCTCTTTGTCTATAGTGTTGCACACAGAAATCCAGTTATTGCCTTGTTTATTAACCAGAAATGGATTTGGAGGGCTGTGGTGGGGGGCATTTTGTTGCAGCAGCTTGAGGTGGCAGAATAAGCTGTCAGGCAGTGGAGCCGGTGAGTGTGTGATGCGGGACGCAGGCAGGACGTGAGCAGTCAGGCTGGATTACTAACCTTTCCTTTATTAAGTATCTCTGTATGGGGGAAAGACCAGAGAAAGAGAGAGAAGGGGATGCACATCATTAATAACGCACACAGCCCCCATACAAAACCCACTTAACGAAACGGCAAATATTATTTTACAGGGAGGGACATGCATACCAGCCAGAGTAGCAGGCTCTGAGTCATTATGTCTTTGTAGTACTCTTCATTCAGGATTAGTTTTACATGGACAGGTGCGGTAATTACCAGAGTACCTCTGTGATTTCAGTACAGTCTGAGTCATGTTAGGTTCACGTTTGTTCAGGCTGGCATAATCCTGGTTTATTGAATCGTGTTTTCTTTTTAATCTGTGATTTGTGATTGTACTGTAAATATGCTGACACAGTTTTTTTTTCATATGAACTGTAATGTCTGTTTTTTTTATTTGTCTTCCAGTGAAGAGCATTTTGAGATTTGTAACTACAATGAAAAGTGCTATCTAAATGAAGAATGAGTAACTCTACAGAAAAAGGAACTGTCAGCTCAATTGTGTTGAACTATATTAACAAAAACACTTTCTAAACAGCATTTCAGAACTTTTTTTGCACCAGATCAGGGCTGTGTGGGTTTTTTTGACAGCACAGTGATTGACAATGGCATAACCATGTCAACATAAATAAAATAATCTTTTTTTCGTGTGTTCTGAGCTTTTATTTTCTGGCAGAATTTGGAGATGTTGAATTACGAAGATAAAATTATGATCAACCCAGGATGACTGCAGTTATAGTTGTAGTAAGTGTTCTTGACGAATGCAGGTAGGAATTTTGCAAATCATCAGGCCTTTTAAAGGCCTAGAAGTCCCTGCAGGTTCCTCACTGTCACAACTCTCAGAATGCACAGGTAGCTTTAGTTCAGTTGCTTAGCAGCCTCTCTGAACTAGCATGTTTGCATTTGGTTTGTTTTTACTACACAGATTTACCACTTTTCTCTATCATCTTTTGGAACTGAGCTGTTAAAATAATGGATTGGACCTTCTCAGAAATTGATTTGGCATGCAAGCCTCAATAGCTGTACACATAGTGCAATAGAGTTCCTTATTATTTAGAGTGTGACCTGGTACTATTCTTATTCAGGAGCAGATTATTAAGCTTTTTATTTGTGTTTTGTTTTTTAGACTCTTCATTCAGCTTGGTGCCAGCCTGAAACCACTTTGTTGACCTTAATATCAGTCCCCACACTGACACAAAATTATGATCAACCCAGGATGACTGCAGTTATAGTTGTAGTAAGTGTTCTTGACGAACGCAGGTAGGAATTTTGCAAATCACCCAAACAGCATTAGCATTTGCTTAAGTATAATAGTGTGGCTAGATGGCTGCGATAGGTGACAGATCATTCAAGCAAACTGAGAATCAGTCAGATAGACTAGCCAAAAAATTATGTAGAAAGAGCTTAATTCGTACATTTTTTATTAAACCCAAGTGTTACAGTCCTTTTACAGTTAAGAGGTGTTTTTAAAATGTTAGCTCACTCACTGGTAGTTGCTCAGGTACTACTAAAGACTTTGGTTTGTGTGGGTGTGGCTTTAGAAAGGAACCACTGATGATAATTCTGCCCTAATTCTGACTTGTATGGGGGGGTCACTTGACTTCAGCATCTTCAAACATAGTCCCACCCAACTCAAATCCAACCTAGAAGAGCAAAAATCTCACAATTGAAATGACCAGTGTTGTTCTTTAATGGGCAGTCAGTAGTACATTCACGCAGGAGCCTAGAGCTAAAACCATAAACAGATTAACGAAATGGAGTTTACAGCCGCTTTGAGAGTGGTAATGTTTTCCTACTAGATAATCAACTGTAGCGTTAACCCCAGGTTATATCTGATTGTTGTGAATGTTGGTAAGTGTTACATCATACACTATGAAAAAGGAGTTTTTGTACTTTTAAGTATGGAGGCACTAAACAGAGAACTTACCTGTATTCTATCTGGCCCAAATCACTAAGCAATGGCCCAAGTTATATGACAAACATTTAAGTACAGAAGATGTTTAAAAGGACTTGTTAGAGGAGTAATGCTTCTGTCAGTTTTAGGTTAGATATGGTACACAGCAGCATAGATATAGCCCACAGGCATGGTTCATTTTTGCACTTTTATACAGAGATTTCATCAGATTTAAATCAGTCCTAAACGGTACAGACATGCTGTGGTAACATTACTTCACGAACTGTGGCTACTAGAGCTAAGCATTTTGGGCCGAAATCGCAGTAAAAATAATTTTAAAATACATAAATAAATACCAGTTCTATGATGATGCTAATTTCTGCTAGCTCCGCTTTGGTGTTTCTAACAGTGTTCACAGACATTTGACGCTTCCAGAGTTATGTTTTTTCACACAGTAACTCAAAATGTGATTTTTGAGTTACAATGTGAAACGGATTCCACTGTCAGTTCCTGATTATGTTGGTGGCTATTCTGGCCTTCTGTCCAGCTCAAATTGGCCTAACCAGGCCTATCCACTTAGATACCATCCAAAAAGTTTGGACAATTTACCTGTGTGAATTTCAAGATTTTAACCCTTCCAAACTAGAATTAACAGTGTATCATGAGTATTACTACAATGCTTGCAAATACAATATCCATGATGATTGTATTAAATAAAAATGAACTAAAAGTATTAAATCATCAGGCCTTTTAAAGGCCTAGAAGTCCCTACAGGTTCCTCACTGTTGCAAGTCTCAGAATGCACAGGTAGCTTTAGTTCAGTTGCTTAGTGGCCTCTCTGAACTAGCATGTTTGCATTTGGTTTGTTTTTACTACACAAATTTACCACTTTTCTCTATCATCTTTTGGAACTGAGCTGTTAAAATAATGGATTGGACCTTCTCAGAAATTGCTTTGGCATGCAAGCCTCAATAGCTGTACACATAGTGCAATAGAGTTCCTTATTATTTAGAGTGTGACCTGGTACTATTCTTATTCAGGAGCAGATTATTAAGCTTTTTATTTGCGTTTTGTTTTTTAGACTCTTCAGTCAGCTTGGTGCCAGCCTGAAACCACTTTGTTGACCTTAATATCAGTCCCCACACTGACACACAACCACACACATACACACACACCTAAGTTACTCCACCCCCCATTAAGAGAAACAATCTAAATGTTAAGCAGTCTCCCGCCTCCTGAAGAGGCCCGTGTGCCACTGCTTGGAGAAATTAGGCCCGCGGTGCTTTTGTCAAGCTCCCATTGTTCTGCCTGACATACATGGAAACAAAGGAATGATGTGCAATTTGGGCCTAATCATAACATCTGTACTTCTCCCCTATTTACATTTTCCCTATCAAGGCCAAGGAGAAATGTTAATTTTAGATGAGTCTTTTTATGACTGGTAATTACTGTCATTAAGAACGCCCCAGAGAGTCCAGGGGAGCGCTGACTGAAATGCAGTTTGACGTGTTCTATAATTAATGCTGAATTAATGCCTTACTTAGAAGAAAGGAAGGTCCTTAACAGTTCTGAGAGGCGGCCTGGTTCCGTGGCTGTTGTGTTACACCTGAGACACACACACTGCGTAAAGACAAACAGCAGGTCCCATTGTTAGTGTTTGTAGTAGAGTGGCAAAGTAAAAAATGCTAATTTTTCCAGTTTAGTTTACTTTTCCTCTGCTAATCTGAGTGAAACTGCCTGGCACAGTCAAATTCTGAGCGGGTTCTGCTGTGACAAAACAGGTTTTTTGCATGGCCTTTGCTTAGCTACTTTGCTCAGAGATACCTATTATATTATACTTGTTTCTTCCAACAAGTGAAGATACCATAACGCGAACAGTGCTAACAAGCCTTCAGGGCTGCATAACAGTGTCATGGTGTCCCTCTCCTTCTATTGTAGGTGAAGAGCTATGAGGAGAGGATTTTGGAGCAGAGCCAACAGCCCCAGCAAGGCCAGAGAGAGTGCCAGGAGAGCCTAGAGGAGCATCATGTCCTGTTGAAGAGGGAGCATGCCATCCTGCAGGAGAAATATGAGCACAGTGTTCGAGAGGTATGATCTTAGGTAACCAACGGACTCTGGTCCAGATGTAAAAGTGTGCCTGAAATTAACAGTCAGTTTTCTAAAACTGCAGACTACATCATGCAAACTGTGCATAGCCCCACCTACTAACTATGCACCTGTGAAGCACATGGTTTAAATAAAGGCAACAAACTTGAAGCAACACAGAAAATGAAAGTTCAGCGGCAAAGAGATAGCAATGTAAATTAATTTCTTTCAGAATGCGTTCAAAGAAAAGTCAACTGAATTTTAAGGCAATTTACTGCACAAAAACTTATTTTGAGTTCAGAGGTGAACTCCAGTGACCTAAAGTGAGTTTACTCAAAAAATTAGTTCAGTACATTGTCTTAAAATTTTAAGCTGCCCTGACCTCATGACCTGTGCATGGGTTTGATTCTACTCTGGAGAATTTGAAACAATAACATGGACTGCACACATAGTGCTGCTACGTCACTGCATGTTTTGTTCTGCACTTTCTCACATACATGTGATCTTGAGAGATGAAATTTTTCAGCACACCTTTAAGGCTCATGCCTTCGTCTAACCACCATGTCAGCTGCTGTTGTTAAAGGAAGTCTCTCAACATCATACCTTTAAAGACTCTGATGCAAATTTAAGCCTGGTTTTAAAAGTTGGCAGGAAATCAATGCAAAGCTGACCACCTCAAGCTGCCCAAACGTAAATTGAGTGGAATATGTAATGAGCTACACTTGGGATAACACCATCCATCCACCGTTTTACATGACACTCCTTCAAATACAAGCTAGAAAAAAGCTAATATTACGTTATTCCATGTACATGGCCCATGAACTACATGTTTAGGCTTGTGTTTTGTACAAAGCACCTAAACTGGCACAAAAAGGTAAAAGAAAAAGTAAAAAGATTTGAATGATGCTATCCACACTCTGCATTTATTATAGCTTCCATTCTTTTGAGGAGACTTGCTTTCAGTTTTTCAAAGAAATACGCAGAGATGTTTTTCTACACCTGCGAAGTTCAGTCGTAGAAGTTGGTTGCATTGTCTGTTTTCACAATCTTAAGTAGTCCCAAACACGTCCATTGATGTTGAGGTCTGGGCTCTGGGGTGGTCAGTCCATTGTTCTGAGAACACCAGCGGCTTCTTTGTCTTATTTGTGTATTTCATTTTCTTAGTAACGGCTTTTAGACAGCTGTACATCCTTTTAAAGCATTGAGCTGTCTTCTCACAGTGGAAGATGGACAGAAACACCTGTGGATTTTTTCAGATCTGAAGCAGCTTGATCTCAAAGATAAATACAGCTTCGATCTACATACAAATACAGCTTTATCTAATGATGACAGTACTGGTGGTCTACCAGGCCTTCCATGGTTGTTAGGAGTCACATTTTCTCTGTAGCTTTTAATTTATATATATATATATATATATATATATATATATATATATAATTCTGGGGTTTTTTTTCTTGTTTTTTTCTGGTTTAATTGTCTTCCTTGTGCAAGTGGATTATCTTATATCTATCCCCCCTGGTTAGATCAGAGAACATATGGACCAAAGGGAATGTAACGTTTCACGCATTTAATTAATTACTGAACATTAAAGCCTACACCTATTTCTTGTCACATGTCTCTTCATAAAACGACTGAACATCTAAGGGCTGATCAAACAAGGGAGAAACTTTTTTGGCTCTAGCAGGATAATGTCGTTTAATGAGCGTAATGTAGTTGAATGGTTCAAATGGTTTTTATTTCATTCAAACGTGTTCAGACCAAGATGGACAAAAGTTAACAAACAGGTTGCGGCGCACGTTGAGGGTTCAACTGGTAGATCAGCCTGTCATGTGTGTGCAGTATGTGTACTGTCAGAGCAGGAGCTGGTTTCTGTGGAGACAGAGCAGATGTGTCTTCAGGAGAGGAGATAACTGAGTGTGCTGTATGCACACGCTGATAGCTGAAATTACTCAATCTCCATTTTGATCAGCCAGAGCCTGCATCTCTCTCTCTCTCTCTTTCTTTCTCTCTCTTTCCCTCCTGCAAGTGCTCTAGCGATAGTCTACCATCCCCCAGTGCAGCCATGCATAGAGCCATCCCCATTAGCTTCATTTGTGAAAGGGCCAGAATGTTCCGACAGCCTGTGGCCGTTAGACTGAAGATCATGTGAAAACATTGGACACGGAGCTCAAGAACGACCGCATTATGACGGCGGGGAAGAAGAAGGAAAAAAAAAAGTGCTAGGGAAAGGAACGAATTGGCAGTGGAATTGAGCCATCATCTGAAGTCTCTCTCTCTCTCTCTCTCTTAGTGTTGGAACAGGGTAATTCTGACAAGTGGTGTCTAGACAGAGTGTTCAGTGCCTGTGAGTCAAGCCGTAGAGGGCTGGGCCTTTGTTCTGGCGGCTGCTGGAGAAATATTAGGATGGCCTATTGGAGTAATGAATCACCTCGGCACACAGCAGGGCTAATATGCAGAGCAGATGGTCCGCAGTGAAGCCAGCTCGCAAACTGAGGACTGTCGCTGACGCTCTTTTTCGCTTTCTCTTGCTCTCGCTCCCTCTCTCTTTCCATCACTCTTTTTCCTCTACCTCTCCATGCACTGGATTTTAATCAGTCTATTTTCCGGGCTGTTTAATGAATGCCACATTGGCTGCCCTCTATGTCAGAGGTCTCCCTCCCTCAGAGTCTGCCCAGCGCTCTAATGCCTTACACATCTTGATATCACTGCTCATGCTTTCTGTCTCTCTCTCTCTCTTACAACTTATCTCTCTTTCTCTATGTATATACATACAAATCTACACTGGGTTACCTGTTTTTTAGCTATGCCAACCTTGTACCTACACCCTTTTTTGCTGTATAGTAGGTTTACGATTATTGACTGTACCTCATCTGTTGTTGCACAGTTTATCATGCTCCTTCAATAGAAGCAGATCACCGTAGGACCATTGCTGACCTTATATTATTTGGGTAGTGGACCGTTCTCAGCGCAGTAATTACTCCTATATTGCAGTGGCATGGCAGCGTGGTACTGTGTGTGGTGCTACTAAGAGTGTATCAGGCACAGAAGCCATGTAGTGTCACTGCTGAAGTGAAAATAGTTCACCTACCAAAAATATTCATCTAATAGTGGTGCTGTTGCTGAAACTGACCACTGAAGATGGGCTAGAGGATAATTAACATAAAATGTTCGTGGAAGAAGATGAGCTGTAGTGTTGAACTGTCAGTGGCCTCAGTGGGGAACCCTCAGGGCCTTCTAGGCCTAATGATTTCTGGGAACTAAAAAATACATGTCTGTAATTTTTAGTTCATTTTATTGTAATAGTGTCATCATACTTGTATTTAAACTCTACAAGTATTGGAGTTATATTCATTTTCATTATTAAGCATTGGGGGTTAAAAAAGGTTAAAATTTGAAATGCTCGACATAAAATAGTCAGGATCTTTTTTTTCTGTGGTAGATATATAGGTCAGATGACAGTGGAACTAACTTTTAATATCCAATGGTTGGGACACACCCACATTACTCTGGGCCTTCTGGAAGTCCTACACAAGTCACTGACTGCAAGTATAAGCCGTAGTCTAACCGGGTTTCTGAAAAGGACCAACATTAGCTTAGCAATAACATGCTTGTAAAACCCCATAAAGGGATGATGCTATGGAATTAGCATTATCATAGATGTGGACTTTTTTTCTCATGTGTTGACAGAGTTTTATGCCCCAAACTGAAGACCTAGCTTTGATAGTCATGGTTTTCCTCTGTTATGCCTGATGTTCGAGGTAGGAGTGCTAAAAAACCTGATAGGTCAGTGTCACACACACTAACATGATGGCCCCGTGTTGGTATCATTGCAGTGCTGGGAGTAGTCTACCAGTTGAATAATATCTGGTCAGTGGTAGTTCTGTCCTGGTCACCTTCTACTCATGGACAGGGTAGAGGGAATGCAGTTGAACTGCGCAGTAACAGATGGACAGTCAGTAATTATAAACCTACAGAGTGGCCAATGATAGTACCTAATAAACTGGCAATATGTCTGTGTATTTTTATTCCCTTGCTCTTTTCTCTGTCTCTCGCTCTCTCTTTCCCTCTCTGTCCCCCTTTCCCTCAGAGCCATAACCATTTACCCCCTTGCTGAGGTGTTTGCATTCATCCGTCACCCGCTCTGCATGCTAAATCCAGCGCTCATGTTGCTTTTATGCCTGTATTTATTTCGGCTGCTCGGCCGCTAATAAACACTAGCCACGGAGCTGGAGCCAGCACACACGCATTTGTTACACATTAGCCTGGCTGGCCGGTCTGCTTTTGTTTTAGGTGGGGTCTCCCTCCGTTTGATTCGATCCAGTCCTCAACTTGGAGCTGTTTTGGCCAAAAACGCAAATACATACATGTTTTTGTTCATGGTGTGAGAGAGAGTGAGTGAGTGCGAGTGAGAGAGAGTTTCAGACTGACATTAGTGTGTACGCTCTCCCTGAGACGTGTTGTGTTCTCGGATCCAGAAAAACAAGGGAAAAAAGGATCAAGAATGCTCTAATTGAATTCACCTGATTAGAAGTACACCCCCACAAGAGTATATGGTTAGCATAATAAACTTCTAAATGTAAGACATGGGAAAGCTGCAGGCATTCCTCGCAGCATATTGAATCAATTAATAGCATGTAGAAGGAAAGCCTGATTATGTGAGGGAGAGCAGGGGGAGAGAAAGACGAGACTGCAGTCCTGGCTGAGGTGGCTGTTATTAGTGGTGGAGTGAGGGCGGGTGTGTGTGTGTGTGTCTGTGTGTGTGCAGATATGCTCGCATGTTTTGGTTTTCTGTTTTTGTGGGTACCAAATGACAGGAAAATAAGGAAGTTGACATTATGTTGACTTTTGGCAGGTGCCCAAAAGTCAACACTGCATATGTGCAACCAAGACTGCATACTGAACTGTGCAAAAGTTGTAGGTACATGAGAAAGTTTTTTAATTAAAGATTTATTTATCTGGTCAGTAAGCATTTATCAGCTTAGAAAAAAACACGAACATTATAATAAATAGAAAAATCATTAATACAATAAGCAGTGATTTCAATCAGTCAGTGTCAGTGTGCTCATTTAACTATTTCCAAAGCTGTGCTTGAGGCAGCTCAATATTATCTGTAGTTATCCAACATGTTAAATCAGGTCTGCTGATGATAAATTCTTGCAGTGTCTGGGGGCATGCAGTAGACTCGCTCACAGGATATCTTTTTATTGTCGTCGTTTTTCATTTTTTTCATAATTTAAGAACACCAGCTGCCCTTTACATTGTGTGAAAAATTCATGACAAATGAACCAATAGAAATCCTCCAGAATAACTTCTTACATTGAACGTTAAGACGGTTTGTTTTTTTCTTCTCCTGTAAAGTTATTTTATACATGTAATATATATTTACTTTATTTTCAATGATAAACCCCTACAGCTTTACATGAATGTGTGTGTGTGTGTGTGTGTGTGTGTGTGTGTTCGTTCTCATGTCTGGTTTTGATTTCTTGCTTTCACACACAGCTGCAGCAGTTGAGTGTGACCCTAGAGGAAGCCCTCACTGATAAGACACACCTCCAGCAGGAGAGAATGCAGCTTGTGACCGTCATCAGCCACTGGATCAAACAGCACAAGTATGTACACCCACCTGTTTTTTTACATATATATGTATGTGTATGTCATCTGTACTTGTTCTGTTAATGTTATTATAATATTAGTGTATTTTATATATATGTATATAATATATATATTATACATATATATTATATATATTATGTAATCTTTTGGTCTGTTCATCATGAAATTCTGACGCACACATACATACATATAATGTGTAATAATATGATATAGTATATTGCTGCTGTCCGAACAAAACCTTGCATTTTTGTTGTTTTTCATTTTTTTTCAGTGACCAGTTGCCATTTACAGAATTTCATGATGCCCAAAGAATTTCATTTGCCCAAAATGACTTGCAAGAAAGTCAGGTTCCATTGACTTACATTAAAAGTACAGTATGTTTTTTGCTTCTCCTGTAAAGTTATCATTTTGGAGATGCAAGGTTTTGTTCCGACAGCAGTGATATAGTATAATATACATACAGATGTAAGTGTCTGTATGTCATAGTACCTTTCTAAGCTCGACTCCAAACCAAACCTTAACCTCAGTAACCAAAAAGAGATAGTTCTGCCCTTTCAGTTAAAAAATACATTAAACATAGCTTTTGTAAAATGGCAATTCATAAAGTCAGGAGCTTTTTGTTGGTTCTGTAGGTTACTCCTGTGCTTTTCTCTGGTTTTCCTGCAAAGTCGGAACATTTTTGTCTTGAAAATGTAGAAAAACATATCTAGAAATACTAATTCACAGATCCCTGTTCTGTACTAAGAACAACTGTAACTGAGTTTTCTTTTTGATTGGGAGTCATTTATTACTAGGTTTCTTGTTCTGCTTGACACAAAACTGTCTTTTGGCTTCCCTTGTAGAAACTGCATAAGAATCTGCATAAGCTTTCGCTTCCTGTCCCTGTGTGGGACTTCATTATCAGATAGTAATGTTGTTAATAGGAGTAGTAAGATTGTGTTGAAATCATTGAAAAGTTCAGCTGAAGATACTGACAACCCCCCAAAGCTTACATCACACAAACACGCAGTGTGTTTGACAATAAAGTGCACAGACTTAATGGGGCGCCAACTAACTGTGGTCCTCCCCTCAGACTTCTCATCACACACGGAGAATTTGTAGGCTACTATAGGCATCTCTCTCTCTCTCTCTCTCTCTCTCTCTCTCTCACTCTCTTTTTCCTCCTGGTTATTATTACCATCAATATTAAACACTTCTGCTCACCATGCACATCATCAAGACCCCACAGCAAATAGCTTTCATGAATACAGCCCGTATTTCATCTGTTTTCCGAAAGCAGAAAGATCTTTTTTCTTCATTTTTTATGGTGAGCTCTGAGGTAATACTTAACGAAGGCACGTTGGCCAACGATTTGCAACCCAACTCCATAAATGATCAAGGCCACCCACATCTTCCAGTTTGGTCGAATAATAAAAGATTACATTAATATTGGTTAATTAAGAAATGTCAGAAGAACAAATCCAAGCCACCATGAATCTCTCACTGCGCCCTGCTGCATAAAAGGCCAGGCTATCTTTAGAGGCTTGTCTTTTTTTTCCCCCTCCTTTTCCTTCTTAAAGTCTTCTCGTCCTCTCACACAGAGCTGCATATTTGCTTTGCTTTCCGTTTCTCTCTCGGCCTGATTACAGCTGCAGCGTTTGATTTGCAATTTAAGCCCAATCATGACACAATCAGTTCTAATGAAAGCCATTGAGTCTCTGATCACTGTTGTTACATGCTCTTTAGTAATGCTTTATCGCCTCCGATTATTGTCCCTGGGAGTCCGGTCCGACCTGAACAACATTTACGTGCACTTATCGGGCCTTATTTGCGCCAAGTTGTTCAGAGTCTAATGATACAGACCCAGTCTTGAATGAAAAACACCTCCTCTGCTCTACATAATGTTCATTGAGTATTATCTGAGAAGGCATCTTATGTCATCTGGCCCATAAAATCACTTTACATGGACTTAATAGTGGTGTTAAAAATGCCGTCAATAGAACGTGGGTATTTATGAGTGGCTTGTCTCAGGCTGTAACCAACGTACCACTCTAAAGTGAGGGGTATCACGTATTTTTGTGAGGAAGTATCCTACATTTGTCTAGTGTTTTATTTCTTTCACCGAGGACACTTATCATCCACTTATGATGTTTGAGTGGTTGTACATATCAAAAATGGTTAGAATTCATTTGCACAATCATAGAATTAAAAAAGCAGTTTATGTTACTGTGCCTTTAAGACAGATGTATGTAGATGTTCTCTGTTCTGATTGTCTGCCCTGTACTGTGCCTCATTCAGAAAGTGGTCCAGGTTAAAACAGTCCTTTTAACTTGTGAATCAGTGGGGCAAATAGTTGGATGTATCTAAATGAAAAAAATTGTTCTTTTGTGACAAAAATAACAAATTTGCAAATGGGCTGTTTTTGCAGCGTAGTTATATGGACTGTAACAGGGTTTATGTACATACATCTCACAAATTAAGAAAATTATTATTTTAATGATATGGGCCCTTTAATAGTTTCATGCTTTTGCAGTTGCTCCCTTTTGTTATAGCAATTCAGGCTAAACCGATGAACGTAAAACATAAAACAACATAACTGTAAAAACAATATAACACAACATAATTGTAAAAACAATGTAACAAAAGCATAACAAACATGTAAAAATATGTAAAATGTTTAGAACAGGGGTGTCAAACTCAAGCATGTAAAGGGCCATATTCAGAAATCTCAACAAATCTGTTGGCCAGCTGTGTTTTTATTTTATTTTTACTTAATATTTTGCCATGACCCCAACTGGCCATTGTTTATTTAAAATATGGCAAAACTACAGCAGCCAAAAACAGGCGTTAAATACTTGAACAATTCAAAAATAACTTTAAATAAAAACAAATTGTTTTATATAAAACAGTTGACTACATTAGCCGCAGATCACTGTTAAACCTCTTTAAATGTCCCTGATGTACACTAGGTGTTTTAAAACTGCCCATTCACTTGATCTAGACACCTGGCATCCTTTTTTGTGGTGCTGTCCCAGAGATCATTGTTGGGGAGGGGATGGGAGCACACATTACATTGCACTGCATGCTGGGAACTGTAGTGCAGCTCATGGCGAAATGGGCTAATATTAATAGAAAATTAAAATCATTTTGCGGGGCGAATAGTGTGGCCTTGTGTTTGACACATGGGCTCTAGGATAAAGATAAAAGCCTTTGTGAAAAGAACGAATGAATGTGAGGACGTGAGATCCCCATGCCCAGTGCCAAGCATTGGTTAGAGGGGTATAAAGCCCCCCAACTTTGGGCTGTGCAGCAGTGGAACTGTGTTCTCTGGAATTAATGGAGCTCCATCCAACACCTTTGCAGTCAGTTCCAGAATTAATCATACAACATCAGTACCTGACCTCACTAATGCTCTTGTGACTGAATGCAATCAGATCCTCACAGCAATGTTCCAACATCTAGTGTGAAACTGTCCTACAAGAGTAGAGGCTGTTACAGCAGCAAAGAGGAACAAACTTTCTATAAAAGTTTGTTGAGGAATTTTGCACCTGTAGTATAGCAGTCATTATTATCAGGTATCAGAAGTTTTAATTCCTTAAAATCAGTAATGGTCACAACATTTTCCTATCAGTCAGACTCCACTCCTTAAGTGCTATATGTGTCCTTACGTGAGCTGTGTCTCTTCAGGGAATTCTGATTGAAATCAAATGAACACAAGCAAGGTGAGACTCTCAGGGAGACCCTCTGAGCCCCTTTCTGACACCACAGCGAGGAGGAGCCAGGCTGTCGCACAGGGAGCGTATTTCTCCACCTGTGTCTGATTTAAACACAGAGCCCTCTGCTCGTGTTTCAGCACCGTCAGAGTTTACGCCTGTTGCTCTGATCTCAGATCTCCCCACACCTCACTGCGGCCACTCCGACACGTCAGCAGTCCGACCTGCAGCACCAACGTTTAGTCAGTTCAGCTCCAAAAGCCTTTTTACTGTTTCCTCAGAGAGCACAGCGGCCTGCAGTCCAGCTGAGTCACCTCACTCCCACTTTATGGCCTTTCTTTCCTTCTTATTCATTTGTTTAATCATTCTTTCTTTCTTTCTTTCTTTTTTCAGCCTTCTGTCCATCCTTCTTTCTGTCTGTCCTTTCCACCCTTCCGTCCTTCCCTTCCCTTCCCTTTTTCTTTCTTTTTCTTTCTTTCTTTTTTCTTTCTTTCATTCTTCCTTCCCTCCGTCTTTTTTTTTCTTTCTTTCTTTCACTCTTTCGGTATTTTACTTTCTTTCTTTCTTTCTTTCTTTCTTTCTTTCTTTCTTTCTTTCTTTCCCACCAACTTTTTTTCTTCCATTCTTTCTTACACTCTTTTGCTATTTTCCTTTTATGTTTCTTTCTTTCTTTCCTCCATCTTTTTTCTTTAATTCTTTCTTTCACTCTTTTGGTATTTTCCTTTCTTTCTTTCTTTCCTTTAGAAGAAGATGAAAATGTGACCACTATTACTGTTGTTTTACTGTTCTATTTAAATGTAAATATGCAGTTTTATAGATAATGTCTTAGTTACATTCATATTTACATTCAGTTTTCAGTTTTCTGTATGGAAATTTTAAAGTCTGCACTTCTGACTTTTTTCCATGTTTCAATGTCAAGAAATGACAAAACATGACAAGAATCTTTTTTTTATTTCTACAAAATGAGACTGGATATGGAAGCAACATCTCAAATTTCAAATAAGTAAAACATCTGCTCATCTATATATTGATTGAATGTTTTGAATCCTCACTTTCTGCAGAATTTCTCTGCTTGTTTCAGTAAACTATGACTGAGAATTACAATGAAATTATTTGGTTAGCACCAGTGATAAATGCTACATCTAAGAGTTCATGTCTGCTCTTTTTATTAGAATCTGTGTGTCTTTTATTCCCCTCTTTAAATCACAGTAGTCCACAGTAGTTGCTTGTACTTTAAGCATATTATATAGAGTTTGACTGCATGGTTGTCCTCTCAGATTAATTCATCCATGTCTTTTCTTTTTTTCAGGACTGCTAGTGAAAGTCTGGCCAGACGAATCAAAGAACAGAACTGGCTTTTGGCGGCCATCAGCAGAGAGAAAGAGTAGGTTTAATCACCTGTCTCCTGCTTTTACATCCTCTTTACAACTTTGGCCCTTCTCATCTCCCATGCTTCATCACCGTCTGTCTGGAGCTCCACCGCAGCTCAACTACATTGTGTTCCTTCATTCGGTTTAAAGCATCCTGCTAATCAAGCCGCACAGCCGCGAGTAAAGATTTCAGCACAGCTTACTGGCTTTCTCTCTGCGGGCTAATGGCGTGTACAGCAGGCTGTTCACACGCCTCTCTCCGGTCTCCGCATCCCCTTGTCAATTTAGCGCCGGATTGTCTCCCGCTTTCAGAAGGAATCAAAAGCTCTGAAAAGGCGAGTGGTTTGTTAGCCGTATCTTGGAGCGATACCGCTGTTCTGCGCTCCTCATTTAGTTGGTCAAGGAATTTGACACAAAGCTTTACGCGGGGCCTGTGTTAGCACTTAGCGCTTAGCGGTCAGGCTCCCAGCACTCACAGCTCTTCTCGCAGGGCTCCAAATGAATGGAAGGCCCTCCTGTGATCTGAGCTGTTGGCTGGGAAATGGAGAGATGCAGAATGCCCATTATAAGAGTGAGGAGCGAGGGAATGAGAGAGAGGGAGAGAGAGGCTGCTCCTTCTCTGTGGAGTTCAGCGTGGAGTTAGCGCAAATAAAGCTCTAGTTTTCCGTGGAATTCCCGGATCTGGCATTGAATCCACGGTGACACAGCATTTGTCACATCAGATGTGTGTTGTGCAGATCTATATTTGTCTCATATTTGTGCTGAAAATAAAAACAGGCTTCCCTATCATGTCGTCCACAAGTTTCATAATATATAACACTATGGAACTGCCTGCCCTCACGCAGACTAAACTGAAGGCCCTACAGAAGTGTGCTAGGAATTTGTCAGTTTGTTGTAAACAGGTGCTTTCACACCTACTATGTATGAACTAATCAAACTTTTTCTTTAGTTCTGTTCATTTCAACTGGTGTGAACACTCCCATATTTGGCTTCACACCAAAGCTTCCAGTAGAAGTTACAGGCCACGGTCCACTTCCAGACATCTGTGGCTCAGTTCACAGCTGTTGGGAGCTCATTTTTATGATGATCCGCACCAAACGAGAGAATTCAACACCACAGTGTGCTTTTCTCAGTGCTTTACTGTCTGCATAATCATCCCGTTTAAGAGTGGCGTTGCACTGTGAAACTTTATTTGCGTAAAACCTAAATATAAATATTCCCTGCAACTCATTTGAAACTCAGGCACAACAGTTGGAAGTGTCTCTTTGTGAAACAGTTGTAAGAATCACTTTTTTGCTTTATAAAACAACTGATCAAAATGCCGCTAACAGATCACATGATCATGTCAACAGACATACTTTCAAACAATCGATTTCACTGGATCAATGGACAAGAAAATCAAACAGGAAGTTTACTGGGTGCATGAAAAGGAGGCCTCCAACTGGCTTTCGTCAGTTTGCTGAGCCAGGTTTACACAGCGTTGTACAGCAGGAGGTTCCACAGTGGTCAGACTGGTCCAGAAGGCTGATGAGCGTGGGCAACCGATCAAGACAGATGAAGCAACAGCGTTAGACTGCACAGGATGGACAGTTAATTCATTTGAAATCCAAAGGATTAGAATTATTACAGAGGGGACACTGAGTTAAACTTTCTTTGATTACCTTGTTGTGCTTCTAGGACAGGATGAGCAAGGCATCAAGTAGGATACAACTATAACTGCTACTTAAGTATTAATTTTCAAAGGCTTAACATACACACAACAGATAAAAAGCTCAAATATATATTACAAAATCTTAGATAACTAAAGAAATAAACAGCAATGACAGCTAAAACATATACAAAGATGATAGAAATGCTGCAAATACAGCCTTATGGCGAGAATAATGTGGTCCCTCAAAAATATGAGCTGCTAACTTCGCCAACTAGTGGAGTAATTAGTTTGCATGCAGCTTTTTGTTTTTAAATTACTTCATGTAACTGTCAAGTTGCAGGCAACCCATAGCATGTAGCTTGTTGCATGAAACTTTCGCTGTTCAAAGCCAGCTTAACATTTAAGTCTTGACAGATACTTGTATTGTTCTTGCAGCACAGCTGCTGCTAATAACAGTAGACAAGCACCAGTGAAGCATTTGATTTTGTCACAGGGACTTTTGTACTTTTGATTGGATGAGCCAGACATCAGCGACCTCTTTGGCTGAATTCAAACTGAAGCATAATTAAACCAATCAATCATGAAGTAGAGATGAAGTGAGGTGCCATGATTACTCTTATTGAAATGTCAATACATGAACTGAAATGTTACGAGTGTCACAAAAACCCAAACTTTGCAAACACACTAAATGTGAAAGCAGCCTAAAAAACATTTTACATTCTTTTTTAATCTAAAATTCCAGAACCACAAATAAAGGTTTCTAAATTAGCTTGGATGCACAGTTCTATGAAAGATTGCACTTTATGTGCAGGTACAAAAATAAGAGCCATCCAATGAACTTTTGGAGTCGTAACTTCAAAGAAAGCAAGTGTAGATCTTTCTGAACTGCCTCCAGTAACGGCAAAATGCCATATTCAGTGACAGTGGCTCATTTTGGTGCATATTCATTAAGTGTGTGCTGGTGCAGTGCTAGCACTGCAACTGCCACGTAGCTAGCAACACACGTTTGCTCCTGTCTGTTTGGTAGCTTATCAGGGTTTGTATTGATTTCTTTATACTGCGTTCTGCATTTCCTCTATTTTTTAACAACGTCCATCTGCTTCTTATGAGGCACATTATTGTCACTGTTGAACTTCTAAAGCAAAATGGAGTGACAGTGATTCTTGCAGACCCATATTGGCATAAGCAAGCGTGGTTAGCCAATCCACCATGATCTGTTAGCATTTACTGCCCACACCCAGACAGCTGGAAGGGGTTTGGTTCCTGAAATGGAACCATTATTAGCTTTTGATCTGTCCTTATCTGCAATGCAAAATGTGAGAGCAACATCTACCAGCTCTCTCTGCTGTTTTCGAAATAATGGATGGTCCTTGTGCATTGACGTATACTTTGTCACTGTGACCTAACTTAATACTGTCCTGCAGTAGAGCTGAATTTTCTGGATGATTGGCTTGGAATTGGTTCTTCTACAGAAATTACTGTGTTTAACTACACTGTTCCCATAACTGATCTTGATCCTGGCTGGTTGTTTTTGTACAGAGATCATAAAGCGAATGGATATTCCTTTGAAACACAATGACATTTAACTCACACTTTTTGTTTTTGTTCTGTTGTCTTTGCTCTGTTTTGGACTTTTTGTTCTGTTGTCTTTAGTTTGTCACCATGCTGAGTTCTTGTTTAAAGCCATGTAGTTTCAGACACCAACAGACATCAAAAAACAATATTTTCTTGTTGAAAACTTTCTGTGAAATGTTTAGCTTGTATTCTTTGACTGATTGACTGATTTAGTGGATATTCTTAATGAAAACCACATATGAAGTAATATGATATTGAGCTCAAATGTGTTGCTGATAACCCTTGCTTTCGTCCGCTCCTGCTGGTGTGGGTTCATGACTGTTTCTTCTCTTTAAATGATGCGCACAAAGATGACTTGCATGCTCTTAGATCCCCCTTGTTGAAAAACTGCACAGACCTAAAGCTGCGGGATTGAGTGAGTTCCAAAGCCACGTTCATTGTTCTACATATTTAAACCGAACCGAGTGCATGAAAAAATTCTCCAACAAAGCGATTAACGTAAAATATGCATGAACGTAACCCAACACGGCTTCTGTAGCAGTCCTGTGTTAGTTTATCCAGTCCAATGCCATTACGTAAACAACTTAGCCAAAGGAACAGAGGATAGATATCAGGTCAGAAAGAAAATACATGTTGTCATGTTTCACGCTTTCACACATTTTCATTTTTATTTGTTATGTTTGGTCTGAGTAGTTACGCATCAGCATGGCTTTTTTTTTAAAAAAGGAAACATTGATGAAAAGAGTGTTTAGAAATGAATGAACAGAGAACGCTGTTTTTTCATGTCAAGTTCAATGCCAATGTGTGTTTAACAGTGGAAATGTTAAGCATCAAATATTTTTTATGATATTTTAAAGGTGTTTGAAGACTTTTTCTCCGAAAAAGATTTTCAGTTTCTTTATTTATTAATTCATTTATTTATTTTTTAAGACAATAGTCATGAACCATACAGTCTTAAAATGCTCATTAGATTATAAAAGTATGCTGAAAATAAAACAGTTAATCAAAATAGTTTTAATGTGTCTTAAGCAAGTAATTTGGTCTAACTGGACCTTGATCAGCTAATGTTTATTTCATCATGTTCATGTTTCGTTTGGCTCATTTGGACGACACGGCTCATTAATGGCCTGTCATAATCCACTGTTTTAAATATATAATGTTTAATTAGAAAATTAAATTAGCCCTCTCTAGTTCTCTATCAGTTTTACTTTCTCAACACAGTTATCACCTTTGAAGGGTCATCATCGAGTGACTTGTCAGTGACCTGTGTCCAATCACATCAGCCTATTGCACTGGCCTATTGTCTAGTGCTCTAGTGGCTAATGTGTAAAATATTTAACAATACTGTGACTGAGAGGGGTCAAGTTATTATAAGATGTCTGAAAACTTGTAGAATGGTCACCTGTATTGTGTATCTCTCTCACTCTCACACTGTTAAACTCTCTGAGACAGCTTCTGTGTTGTTTTATCAGCCCTTCCTCGCCTCTCTCTATCGCAGTGTCAACCCTGTTACTTTGCATGATGAAAAAATCCCAACGCGGCGCAATGTAGAACATAATCACTTTATCTGGAGCTGATTTGAGACAAGAACTTGTCCACTTTTCTCCTCGACTCCAACAAGGAGAACTATCTCTGGCAGAGCACCAAAAGATAATTATACCCAAGAGACAGGAGGTAGAGCGTGCGTGCGCGCGGCCTGTCAATCGGTGCGGCTCTGCGCTCCTTCCTGCAGCTTTCAAAAGCACCACACCAACACACAGCCTGCCGAACCACCCCTCTCATCCCTAA